GCTTGCACTTTCCAAAATACATCGTTAATTTTTTTTAAAATCTGAGATGCCCAAGTGTCCCATCCCCATTCCCTGCTCTTCTTTCCTTCCCCCACCCCCCCAAAAAACTAGTCTGGTCATGCACACTTCAGAGTCATTTAGAGTCCCGTTCATCACTGCCCTGATCCTTGTGCAGTCACTGACGCCAGGGGTAAAATGCTACCAGACTGGAGTGGCAGTGTCTCTCACATGCACTGTGTGCTGCTCCAATTGCAGACACAAGGTTGAAAGCAACAGCAGGTGATGGGAGCCAGGGTGGGGTGGGGGAGTTTTGGGCTGGGTATTGCAGCTGCAAACAATTATGAACTATTCAGGTATGAAATTGAACTTTTTTTGGAGCAAAAATTGCTGTCGTCACATTGAAGCTGCAAGCAGAAAAGAGCTGGTTACTTTACTTCTAAATGTGGCTCTTTCTTGCAGGAGAGAAGCTGCTCTTGAGTCATCTGCCCTGCCCCTCCCGCAGCTCCTGACTCCCTCGGGGTTTAACGCTGACCCCAATGTTTGGAATAAAAGACTAGTGTGTAAGGGCCTGATCCAGAGCCTGTTGAAGTAGATGGAGCGACTCCCAGGACTCCAGTGGGCTCGTGATCAGGCCCTAAATGAGACAAACTCCATCCACGTGAAAAGAACACGAGTACTTGTGGCACCTTAGAGACTAACACATTTATTTGAGCATAAGCTTTCGTGGGCTAAAGCCCACTTCATCGGATGCATCCATCCAGGTGATTTTCCTTCTAGGCTTTGCTCTTTCTTTTAGTCCAGTCTAGCAGGAGGGCTGAATGAGTCTGTGCTGTCTCTGAATTCCTATAGGCAGACTCCTGAGGTGTTGGCTATTACTCCACCATTATTCAGGCAACCTCTCATTGACTTCAGTAGGATTTCACCCTGGTACAGACAGATTAAACACAGAGTAAACCCCTATGAGCCTTAATCTGCTAGGAGTCCTGTCGCTAATGCACAGAATTGCAGATGGCATTGTTGTCAGGAAAGGTTTTCAAAAGTGCCCAGGGGATTTAGGAGCACAGGCCCCATTGTCAATGAGACCTGTGCTCCTAAATCTCATAGGTGTAATGAGTCATTCAAATTATTCCCTCCAATGTGCATCAGTTTTCACTCATCCATATGCAATCTCATCTGCTATGGTGCAGCCCGGTCACCTAGCTCTCGGGTCCCCATGGTCTTCTCTACTCACAACTAACCTACCTGTGGGTCTTCTGAAACTGTTGTGTACAGCCTTCTCCAGACAATTAATAAATACGCTAACCTCAGACTTGGTATGGAACATTTCACCATGATCAAAATGTATTCCTAGTCTCTGTTTTCTCTGTCAGCCCAGGACTGGACTTAATCTCGCTTAATAAATGCTAGATTAGGAGGGGATGTAACCGTTTCAGATAGCAAGGAATTTTCCGTTAGTGAGGTTGTACTGGAATGCAAATACTGTGACAAAAAACAGTTCAGAGTTGTGTGTGTCCTTGTCCGAAAGCTCGGGAGCAATGAAAGTTTCCCATTTAGTGTTATGCTACGAGAGCTCAGACAGGGCCTTGTGCAGGTGACGAATGGGGTTTATTGCCATATAAAACTAAGTCTATCCCCAACCTCTTGTAGAACATGCCATAAGAGAGATCTAAGGGTACGTCTACACTACGAGATTAATTCGAATTTAGATAATTCGAATTTGGGAAACAGATTGTATAAATTCGATTGTGCGCGGCCACACTAAGCACATTAATTCGGTTTTTAACCACATTAATTCGGTGGTGTGCGGCCACACTACCCCATTAATTTTAACCACATTAATTCGGTGGTGTGCGGCCACACTACCCCTAATTCGAATTAACAAAATCGATTTTGGTGCTACTCCGCTCGTCGGGGTGGAGTACAGAAATCGATTTTAAGTGCCCTTTAATTCGAAGTAACTGGCTCCGTTGTGTGGACGGGTTAAGGATTAATTCGGATTAACGCAGCTAAATCCGAATTAAAGTCGTAGTGTAGACCAGGCCTAAGAAGAAAATGCCATTAAGACCCCTGTCCTGTACGCTGTCATCTCACTATAGCCCAGCAGGTGGCATGCTAAGATTACTGCCAATGAATACGTTTGTTACCCTGCCTGCCTTTCTCTACACACACTGTGGTGGTTTCACCTGCTTATTGTGTCTTGTCCTCAAGGTGCAAACTCTTCAGGACAGGGACTCTCTGTTACTAAGGGCAAGTCTACACTGAAAACGCTGCATTGGCACACTGTAGCACTTTAACAAAGACACTTTAAGCCGATGGGAGGGCTCTCTCCCGTCAGCATAGTTAATCCACCTCCCCGAGGGGCAGTAGCTGTGTCGATGGGGGAACGCTCTCTCGCTAACACAGCACTGTTTACACAGGGGGTGAGGTCGGTATAACTACGTCACTCAGGTGCATGGATTTTTCACACCCCTGAGCGATGGAGTTCTTCTGATATAGGGCTGTAGACCAGACCTAAATACGTGCCCCGTGCCTGTGCACAGAAAGATCCCAGCCACATTCGTGTCCCAAGGCACCAGCATAATAAAGATATTCCTAGTCCAATGATTGTGGTTCTGTTGCAACTAACACAAAATATTAAAAGTAAGAATACCCAGGTGACGGGATGCAGAGCCCAGCTAGCGAAGGACAATTGGGCAGATGGGTCAGAGGAGGTTTGCACAGATGTTATGGTTGTATATAATTTACAAGCAGTTGTTGGGGCTTATTTTTCAGTTTTCCTATCCCAACCCCCCCCCTTCCATATTTAAAGCAACCCCTCAAGACACCGTATATAATGAATAAAATATATAGCTGTTTATTTATGTAGGTGCTGACTTCCAGAAAGTGCCTGCTATAAAGCACCAAGTGCAACGTGTGTATATTCAGTCCAAGTCCAGCTACAGCATCTGCTCTGGATCTATCCACCATAAACACATGAGGCAAAGATTACATAACAGACCTGCTGTCTCTCTCTCTCTCTCTCTCACGCACATCAAGGTAGTCTCTGCACATTCATGAGTCAGTGTGATCAAAAAAAGTGATCTTCAAGTTTAAAAAAATAAAGAGATGAGAAGCCTCTTCTGGCAGAAGAGTCCCAGTCCCATGCAAAGTGAACAATAGAAGCCAGAGGGATGGATGAGGCCCAGTGCAAAGAGACACTTTAACCATCGTTTTTGTGACTTGTTCCACGTGGTTGATTGTCTGTTTCTGCACAGGGCTTGAATCGTGGTGCGGTTCTTTGTATCCAACCTGAAACTTGCAAGCAGGTTTTCAGCAAGGGAGTCTGTCATCAGAACCCATTACAACCTTGCCCCAAAGGGCTTCCACCAGGGAAGTGTCAACGTTGCGTATTGTACTGCTCACTCAGACTGAACTTACCCTTGTGCAGCGGGGCAGCACAAAGCATATGCACCACTTCAGTCCCATACCAGAGGGCTTAGGCTAGGAGAGATCAGGTAGAGGACATGGAAGGACAAGTCAGATGTAAGGAATGCCTATGCCTAGTGCTAGCCCTCTGCCCAGGGGGTAAGTTTCACCCTGAGGGGCACAAACCTCTTGGAGAACTTAAGGCCAAATCATGGCCCCATGAAAGTCAGTGGCAGAATTCCCAAAGATTTCTATGGGATCATGATTTCGGTCTAGCTCATGGTTACAGGGCACCTCAGAATGTAACAATCAGATTCTGAATGTGAGAGTATATTGCTTCTAAATGGAAACATTCATTCAAAGCTGCAGGAGACTCTATTTGGGCATCTTGGTGTCCCAGCTGGGAGGCATTGTGGTCATTACAATCACCGAAGAGGAGACTGGTCTCTGTCCCACTAAGCTGTCTCAGTGGATACTGGTCCATCATGAATAGAAACATCGCCCAAAACTACAAGACAGCTACTGACCAGCTGTAGGGGTTAGTGCAGTCCAGTAGTGATGTCCCCAGGTGGATTGCTGAAGTCTCAGGCTGGAGACGTGCAGGGGTAAATTAAGGCAGGATTCTTGGATCCCGTCCCCCCCGACCAAAAGGGGACCAGATGCAGCAGTGAGTCAGAGCAACAGGCTGATTGCTGCCAGCAGCCTGATGAGGTGGGAGAAACAGATGAGTCCATATGGGAGCTGGTAAGGACAGTCTGTCTGGGGGAGGCAGAGCCTCTCTAGAGGGCCCATTGGGTCTGAAAGCACCTCTGGTTAGCAAAACAGATTGAGCGGTGACACAGCACACTGGGGTCTTCTACATGTGACATGGGATTGACCCACATTGGGGTTTGGTCTGCTCCTGATGAATTGAATCTTCATTCATTCTTTACAGATCAGAGCTCTTGCACTAGTGAGGAGCTGCCCGTGGTTCGAGAGGGCAATCCGCCAGTCCTGGTGCAGTCATGGACAAGACGGGTGGGTAGTCGTGGGACAGGAGTTCTGCAAGCCAAGGTGGGGTGTTACCTGGTGCCCCACAAGAACTGGACCCTTCTTAGGATGGGTGCTATAGAAACTCCCCCAGGGCAAGCCTAGAGTGGACGCGTTTCCCTCTGCCTCCGGGTGCTCTCCCTCCCCGCTTCCCCCAGGTGACATGGGTGCTAACTTCAAGGGGGGGAGGGCACAGGTCGAGCACAACTTTCCATTTCCCAAAAGGGCCCAAGGGAGGCAGTTGCTGAGTGGGGTCCACCCTGACCCAGATCCCAGGGCTGTGGAGGGGGAGCCGCTCCCTCCTACAGGTCCCAGCTGAAGTGGGTGTGTCCCCCCCAGGATGGGGCCCCTCGCTAGAACAAGGTGCCCCCCAGCACAGGGGTCCTCCCCTCCCACGATGGGGCCCCCCACTAGGACAAGGTGCCCCCCAGCACAGGGGTCCTCCCCCCAGGATGGGGCCCCTCACTAGGACAAGATGCCCCCCCCAGCACAGGGGTCCTCCCCCCAGGATGGGGCCCCTCGCTAGGACAAAGGCCCCCCCCCAGGCCGGCGCCCCCTCTCCGCTCTCAGGCCGGGGGCTGCCCAGGCGGCCCCTGCAGGCTCCTCTTGAAGGGGGACTCGGGCGGCTCTGCCCGGCCGCGGCGCAGTTTGCCCGCCGCCCAGGGCACGCAGCCGCCCAGCGCCGAGGCCAGCAGGGCGGGCGGCCGCGCCTTGCGGGAGCGCCGCAGGCTCTTCTTGAGGCGCTGCCCGTGGGCCGCCAGGTAGATCTGGGCCTGGCCGGCGCCGCTGCCCAGGCGGGCCAGGCTCTCGGCGCGGCCGGCCATGCGCAGCTCGGCCTGCACGAAGACGCGGTGCAGCTGCTGCACCCGGCTCTCCAGCTCCAGCACCAGCCGCCGCCGGCCCTCCACCTCCAGCAGCCGCCGCCGGGCTTCGGCCAGCTCCAGCGCCCGCACGGCCCCGGGCAGCGCCGAGCCGCCCGCCGCCTCCTCCTCCTCCGCCCGCCGCCGGGGCTTGCCCGCTCCGCCGCTGCCGGCCAGCTCCGGGTCTCCGCCGGGCGGGGGCGCCGCGCTGCCGCCGGGCATCGGGGGCTCCGCTGCTCCCCGGGCTTGGGAGGGGGGGGGTCGGGGTTCCTGCTGCCGAGCCCCGGTTTCTCCCCCACCCCTGCGGCGGCTCGCTTCGGCGGGGACCCCCCGGCCCCGAGCGCTGCTGTGCGAGGAAGCTCCCGCCGCTCTGGCACCGGCGCGGGGCGCCTGCCGCCCTTATAAGGGGACGGGGCTGGCCCGGAGCGGAGAGATGCTTCCCTGAGCCAGTCCCGGGAGCCGCAGCGCCATCACCCCCGCCCCGCCGCCGCTCCCATCCTCTGCCAGGTGCCTTCCCCTTCTCGCACTCCCAGCCCCTGTTCCACCAGCTTCCCCTCGTCTCCCAGCCCCCCTTGCTCTTAGGAGTAAACTCCATGGGAAGGAAGGAATTTACAAACTGGGTTCAAAAAATAAATAGATAAGTTCCTGGAGGGGGGGGGAATAGGTCCATCAGTGGCTATTAGCCAAGATGCGCAGGGAGGCAACCCTATGCTCAGAATGGCCTTCAACTGCTGATTGTCAGAAGCTGGGGCTGGACAACAGGGGATGGAGCCCTTGATAACGGCCCTGTTCTGTTTGTTCCTGCTGAAGCATCTGGTACTGGTCACTGTCGGAAGACAGGGTACTGGGCTGGATGGACCCTTGGTCTGACCCAGTATGGCCGTTCTTATGTTTGTATGAATTCTGAGCACAAACACTGCTCAAGCAGCCCTCACTACGCTGCCCAACACCTCAGCCACACACACCCCAAACCCTGACCCAGGCACACAGACTCTATGCAGGCATACACCCCTTCCCCAAACACACACCCCTACCCAAGCATACATACCCCCTCCACAGGCGTACACCCCTTCCATAAATACCTCTGTATCCATTCACATCCCTTCCCCCAACCCATTCCCCAAACCCACACTCCCCTCAAATGCATAGGCACTCTCCCCCAACACAAACACTCTCCTCACACACCCACACTGTTGTATTCTCTTCTGTTCAGGCCATGCCCATCACCCTGGCATCTGAGGGCACTAGCCTTCCCCCAAACACTCCTTTTTTCCCAAAAAAGCACACAGCTCTGCTTGACATTGAATACTCTGCCCTAAGTAAAGACTTTGTGTTCCTGGAATGGTGATGGTTATTGTTGTGGGTATCATCAGTAAATAGACTGAAGGGAAGCGAAGTGGGCAGGGAGCTGACTAGAGGCTATCTCGCGAGGCACCTAGAGATAGGGCGGCGAGTTGTATGGGCCCGTGGTGCCTGTGCTCCACCAATATGAGAGCACTGGGGCCTGGCTCCACAAAGTTCGGGGCCGGGTCTCCCCCCCCCCCAGCCCCGCCTGCCGTCCCCAGGCAATTTAAAAGGGCCTGGGTCCCCTGCCGCCACCACCAGCAGCACAATGGGGCTAAGGTGGCTTCCTGTCCACCTGTTCTGCTGCCGGAAGTCACCGGCACGTCCCTGGGGGGGCAGTGTCTCCACGCGCTGCCCCAGCCCCAAGCGCCGACTCTGTGAACTACACCCAAGGGGAGCTGTGGGGGCAGTGCCTGCAGGCAGTGGCATGCGGAGACCCCTCCGGCCCCCTGCCTAGGAGCTGCTGCCAGAGGGGGGTTCGGATCACTTTTGGGAGCCGCCCGAGGTAAGTGCTGCACCCCTCAGCCTCTCCCTCACCCCAATCCCCTGCCCCAGCCCAGAGCCTGCCCCCCAACTTCCTCCCTGCACCTGCTCCTGCCCCCCAACCCCCTGCCCCAGCCCAGAGCTCGCAGCCCGCACCCACACTCCCTCCCAGAGCCCTCCTCCCGCACTCAAACTCCCTCCCAGGGCCTTAGGTGGGAGGGGGCGGGCGGGACTTGGACCCGTTCTGGGCATCACCAAAAATTATACAAACCTGCGGCCCCTGCCTAGAGACATCTGATATGCCTTCAGATGTCAGAAGATTAATATATACAGCTTAAAATCATCTCTATTTACCAGCCTAGCCACGAGAAGAATTCTTTACATTTGTCAGTGGTTTTGGTGCATTTATTCTACAAACCTCCTCCATTCTTCTCCCCTCGTGAGATTCTTGGGTGTGGTAGGGCCTCGAAGGGGTTAATAGAATAGGAATTTCTTTCCTGGACTTAGAGCCTGTCAGTGAGACAGTTAAAGAAGATTCTGGGGCGGATGGGTTTTTTTTCTCTGCGGTTTGCAGAATTCAGGTGTCTGAGCGTCTTGCCATGCTACCGGAAAGAACAAATGCAGAGGCTGCCACAGGCCCGTAGCTTCAGGCAGCCTCAGTCACAGTGTTTAGCCATTGGAAGGTGGCGAGAAGTTGATCCCTTTGCAGCCTCCTCAGGGAACTGTTTTGCTAAAGCCATACAGGCTGTGTATCACAAAGGCAAAATATCTGCTCTTCAGACGTAATGCTATGAGCTAGGAAGGAAAGTCAGACTGACAAGGCAGGGGTCAGCAGTAACTAGGAAGGGGGTGAACTCATTCCATGATCCCCGTATTGCCCAGTGAGGAGGGTCCCCCATCTTCATAAAGATGTTCAATAGAAAAATAAAAGTGACTTGTCAGTAGAGCCCAGTGGCCCGGAACTGCAGATCCTCTGTTTCAGCATTCGCGCTGATAGTGCAGCGTGACTGCCAATAACATTATTATATAAGACGTTGTTAATAAAGCTTAGAGTGGGCTAGGTTGACAGGAGATCACAGAACCAGTCAAAAAAAAGGGAGCGCATTCTGGAGTGAGAAAGTGACATCTGCTCCCAGCTGGCAAACAGAGGCAGTAGCACTGGCCATCCCCATCCTGGGGTATTTTCCTCTTAAGTTTCCTGCTCTTATCAGGACACAGTGTGACTAACAGCTGGGCTTTAAGGCACATGAGAGGCATATGGATGTGTGCACTGGGGGCAGGGTGGGCGTGCATTTCACATTGTTCAGAAACAAACTCTTGAGTTTGACGATGCTGCCACATGCCACTCAGACATCAACGCCACATCAGACTCTGTTGCATCACCCCTCGGCCTGCCCCTGGCTGCCAGCTAGTGCAATCAACAACAGCCCTCTCGCCAGTTAGCAAACCCATTTTGATATCCCCTCTGCTTCTGCCACAACACCTAGGATTGAAAGCTCTTCCTTGCTCCTCCAAAGGAAGCAGCCGTGTTCTAAGCATCCTTGAACAAGACATTGAGCACAAAATCGTTGTTACGGACTAAGGTGATATTGAGGAAAGATACCAATTCTAAACCTGAGTTGTTGTTTTATATATGTATGGAATGTGCTGTATAAAATCTAAGGCAAAATCCAGACTCAGTTTTAACTGTGGGACCACTGTTAGTGCCATAGCGTATTCTTTGTTGTTATTTAACGAGGTCCCTTTTGTAAGACGCACCTTGCTGTCACCTACAAAGTTATCTCCTCACCTTCTATCCGCCCCTCCAAAACAACCCTCCATAGGGTGAGTGCTACTAGGTATAATTTATGAGTCAGAAAATCCTCCGCTGTAATTATTGACTCTGCTTTGATGGAACTTGTACCCCCAAGGAATGAAGAAAAACATCTTGAAAAGACTGGTTGCATCTTCCCCCAGCCCGTGGGAGCAATAAAGAAAGGCGAGAAAGAGCCTTGCTCTCCTTGGATTAAAATCTAATGATGAAATAATTGCATGTTGTTCTGATTTTTCCCCCCCTTACGCTGGAGAGCAGAAATTCTCTTGGCTGTATTTGCGCTCTCAGGTGAGCATTCGAGCCATGTTCTGCATTAATTTGCAATAGCTCGGCTATGAAGAACTACACACATCACGCGGGCGTCTGTCTGTGACTGACTGTCAGGGACTGAGAATTACTTTGTTTATTTCCTTATATATATTTCATCTCTTTTCCCATCAGCTGCACCTGGTGAAACATGCCGCAGAGAAATGAAAGGTGGACAGGCAGAAATACAAACTGAGCAGACAGGAGAAAAAAGACAGGAAGCTGGGAACTGGAGAGAAATTTGCTTAAACGTGCAATAATTTGGGATTGTGAATTGCTGAATAGATGTGGAAGTTTGTTGGCTGCGAATGTTCATTTTAAAGGAAAAGCCTCAGGAATTAGTTACGAGGCCACATTTTCAAAAGTGCTCAGCTGCTTTCATTGTCCCCAGCAGCGGCAGGGTTGTTCTGAGTTCTTAGGGACTGATCTTGCTCCCATTTAAATCAATGGCAAAACTACCTTTGATTTAAAGTAGAGCAGTATCCTGTTAATGATACTTCACCCATAGATCCCAAAGCACTTTACAAAAGAACGTAAGTATTGTTATCCCCATTTTACAAACAGGGAAACTGAGAGGGGAAGTGACTACCGACAATCACTTAGCAGCTCTGTGGCAGAACTGGGATGAGAACCCAGATGTCCTGACTCCTAATCCAGTGTCCTGGCCCCTGTACCACACAGCTAAAGCAATCTCTGAAGTGTATTAGCAGATGGATGGTCAGACTGTTTTTAGACATACCTCTCCTTGTTTCGTTCTTTCCTCAACCGTGAATGGTGCTGGGAGCTGCCCTTTTGATATGTTAGACTCCTGCTGGGAAATAATCCTTTGTGCTTCTCTAGCACCCTTTGTCTGAGACAGCTGGTAATATTCACCTTTCCCCTTTCAGGTGGGTGAGTATTATTATATCCAGTTTGCAAATGGGTAAACTAAGATTAAGTGACTTGTCCAAAGCCAGTCAATGGTGGAGCTGGGACTAGAACCCAGGAGTCCTGACTTGTTCTTCCTTGCACCATATAACCCTTTGACTAGAGTCCCTTCCAAATAATAAATAAGAATAAGTGAGATGACTCAGGCTTTCCAGACAACAACTTTGGAAAGTCTCCTGCCTTTCTTATGTATGCAAATGCTGAGCTGCATTTATTGTGTCTTCACTGTAAGCCATCAAACTGTCAGTATGACAGCTTCCTGTTTGAATGTTAATCATTCTGCTATTTTAATGTTCCACGCACATTTTATTTCTGGTTTGCTCTTCTTTGCACTTGGATGTGCAGAAGT